CATAGCAATAATTCAGTTCTCAGTAGTGAATATTCTATTTTGTTTTTTTCTTAAATTTTTCAACTCAAGAGTCATTATGTTTTTCAATTCTAAGTCATTTTTGTGCCTCAGTTACAGACTTTTGAGAATTCTCCTTCTTCTTCTTTTTCTTTTTTACTTTTTTTTTGTTGTTGTTGAAGTGCTGCTTTAGCTCTTCTGCTAGAATTGCCATTGTTTGAGCCACTACGTTGTGTGTGCAGCAGGGTTCCTCCCCCAGGGTTTCTGAGTCCTCTTAAATGTATGCTGTGCCCTCGCAGTTCAGACTTTGGGTAAATTAAACAAGTGGATGGTGGGCAACAGAATATGATTTTTTTCCTCCTGACCACTGGGACTCCAGTCAGACCTCTCTGGGTGTGGAAGTATCCAGCCACACCAGCTGACAGTGATTTATGAAATTAAACATAAGCAAATCAACTACTGTGTTGGAAAAGAAAAAGTGCACATTCCTGATGGTTTAGAAATCGGAGAGTAAGTTAATGGTGAAATGTAAAAGCTCATCAATTATGTGACAGCATCGATTATTAATGGGGAATGACAGCCACAGACCATGAAATTTGTGAATGTTGAATAATAAACTCAGCTGAATAAGAAAAGTATGACCACTGATGGGAGACTCACATTACATAGATTCCTCCTTTTTGTGTTTTAAAGGAAAATTTTTGGGGAACCCAACCAGCTAAGAGCTTCAGAAAATGCAACCTTATCCATCGAACCCAGGCCTTGCCCCAGGTAGGGCTGATTGACCCATGAATGGACACACACAGTCACAATGGGGCCACGTGTAAGCAGGTGAATGAGAATAAAAGATAACATGCAAAATGATAATAATAATGAAACAGAGACACGGGAGAGAGAGACATAGAGATGGAGTGGGAGAGAATGAAAATGAGCTACCTAGGTTCTCATTGGATTTATAGTTTGAGATTCTATAATTCATGAGACTCATCTCTAATTCTGGCCCTTGGATTTCAAGACTTTTTTTTAAATGTAGTTCACTGATACAACACATTATCCTTTTGACCATAGTCCTTTCTCTTGCAAGCAATCTCAAACTGAGGCCAAACCCAAGTTAAAGTTATGGTAATCTGATCAATTTCACCAGGTCTTTCTTTCCTACTTCTTTCCTGAGCTTTAGGCTCCAATAACCAATTGTCTACATGAAATCTTCATTAGATATCTAAAATCATTTCAGACCTTAACTGTCTGTAGCATGGCAACACAATTCTTGTCTTCTTTATATTTTTCATATAAACATGCTCTGATACCAATATTCTTCATCTCAGTAAATGCACCAAAACTTACTCAGCAGCTCAGGCCAAAAATTTAGTTGTCATCCTTGATTCTTCTCTTTTTGCCATAGAGCACATCTGATTTACCTTTATAATACACACTACTAATTTTTGTCAATATTCAGTTTGCTCTATTCTGAACATACAAAAAGGCTACATTTTCTTGTCTCCTGGAACTTAGTTCCTGGGTGCCTTTTTCTGGACAATGAAATGTGAGCAAAAGTTATATGCATCATTCCTTTGTAGAAACATTTCTACAAGGGAATTGATTATCTATCTTTTCTTGCCATGTGATAGATGATATTTCCCACGGTAGAGTTATCTGTCAGCCTGGGTTTGTAAGTCAGGTCTCTCTGCTGACTCAAGATGTACAAACAGTGTGAGCAAGAAACACACCTTTGCTGTTTGTGATACCAAGATTTGGGGGTAGTTTGTAACTGCAGCATAAGCTACCCCATCCTAACAGAAAACAATCCTCTAGTCCTATTGGCGGCATCATCTAAGTGTACCCCCAACTTGATGCTTGTTACCTCCTTTTCTACCACCACTGTATTCCAGAGCACCCTCAACTCCTGCCTGGATTTACTGCAGCATCCTCTTAATTGATCTGCCATTTCTTACTCTGGTATCTTATAAATATCAGATATTCTTTTTGGAAGAGCAGCCAGGCTTGTTTTTTAAAGGTGAATTATCTGTGTTAGTCTCCTGCCCAAAACGCTTCAACAACTACCCACTAGAATAAAATTCAAAGTCTCTCTATGAACCACAAGACCCCATAATCTGACTCTGTCTATTTCTCCAAACTTGTCTCCTGCCATTCTTTCATCTCTCTGCTTCAACCACATTGGGTCTCACCATTGCTAGCAAGCAGTAAGCTCATTCTGTCTTCCAGGCTTTTCTCCTGTGGTTCTCTCTGTGTGGAATGTTTTACCTCAAAACTTCTGTCTGGCTTGGCTTCCTCCTTCCCATTGTACAAATTTGTATTCCAAGATTATGTCCTCAGCACAATCTGTACCTAAAAACACATTCTCCAATTGCCCTGTTTTATTTTGTAAAGCACTCTTTGAACTTTCCTGTTTCTTTATTTTTTATTTGCTTAATTTATGTTAAGCAAACGTAATTTTTTTTCTAGACTACCAATATGACAAAGCAAGGATTTTGTTTTTCAGTGCTCTGTCCCTGGAATATAAGAAAATATCTGGTGCTTAGGGGGATTCAATAAATATTTATCAAATGAGTGAATTAATGAATAAGTAGCTTAAACAATCAGAACATCAAAATAATACTGCAATGAAGACAAAACAATTAGAAGCAATACTCTTTTATAAGTCCTTAACCTAGTCTGTTTGTTTGTTTTAACAGAGCAAAAAATAAATCAAAATACTGCTAATCAATTTATTTAGCTTTTATCTATGACCTACCAATTAGAATTCATTTATTTAGAAAAACCTGATGTGTTCAAATTGACTTGCTTAAATTAGCATATTGAAACTCAAGGTCTTTTTAAAAAGGGAATCAGCACAGGATATGGTTTTTTTTTTGTTTGTTTTTTTTGAGACGGAGTCTCGCTCTGCCGCCCAGGCTGGAGTGCAGTGGCCAGATCTCAGCTCACTGCAAGCTCTGCCTCCTGGGTTCACGCCATTCTCCTGCCTCAGCCTCCCGAGTAGTTGGGACTACAGGCGCCCGCCACCGCGCCCGGCTAGTTTTTTGTATTTTTTAGTAGAGACGGGGTTTCACCATGTTAGCCAGGATGGTCTCGATCTCCTGACCTCGTGATCCGCCCGTCTCGGCCTCCCAAAGTGCTGGGATTACAGGCTTGAGCCACCACGCCCGGCCACAGGATATGTTTAAAGTTGCAATAGCAATAACTGAGTTTCTCAGTCCAAATTATCTATGTTTTCTACAATGGACCCAAGAAATTAGCAGAAAAATAAAAGGACATGAAAGCAAAAGAATAGACTCAAAGACAGGGTAGGCAAGTGAATTAAGCAGAAAACACTAGATTAGAAAATTTCTATGGAAAATAACTTTCTGTATAATTTAACTAGAGAGAATCAAAGTAGAATTTGTCAATGAGCTGTACATGTGACCAACATATTTATTCTTCATCACCACATCCTCAATGATATGAGTTTATGCGTTTGTCCATCACATGCCAAGATGACGCATGAAAACTTCCTCCAGTGGGGCATATCCTTGGATTACTATTCTAGTAGAAATGATGGATATGCACTGATATACTTGCTCGGTTATCAACTTTCACTCATGCAACACTTTTGCAAAGCAGTTAATCCAGGTGTGGAACATTTACTATGACCAAGTGATATATTGAAGATAACTGGCTTTTAAAGGAACTGAGTTTCTCTTTCTGGCCTCCATGGCATTCCAATAAGGAATGTCCAGTGAGTTATGAGAACTGGGTCAGTCTCTTGGTTCTGTGACTTTCCAATCTTGAGTATGTCATTTAACCTTTTGAGGGAGAATGCGGATGAAGATAACATATACCTACCCTAGAGATTTCATAAGGTTCTTGTGAAAAGAAAATAACACATGTCAAAGACATGTTTTGTAAGCTGGATATTTTAGCTATTTGTTTTTCTTCTGCTTCTTTGAGGTAATTTAAGATATCCTGTAAATTGAAGTTGCCATATTTATACATTTCAAAGTAAGAGGAAAATAAAGGGCAAGCACCAAAATGGATAGGTTTGGCCATGTGGTCAAGAAATGCTGAAATTACAATAATTAGAAAATGACACTGCTGTTTCTTCAAACATACAAAAGTACTAAGTGCTCTCTCATTTGAAAACCCCGTCACCTGTTTCCATATCTAATTATTTCCAAATAATTCATCTCCTACCCAAGGAAAAAAGCTAAATTCATGGTCCACCATAAAATGAAACACAATTTTTATAGCCCTTATGTGAATAACTGAGGAGAAAAACAAAATCAGAAGAAAAATGCATAAGATTGTGCATTGTCTGGAACCTCCTAGCTGTTACAATATGTAAATCAACAAATCTCTGAAATTTAAAGCTCCATGGTCTCTAGTTATTTTGTTGCTTTGTTTACTTCAGTAATTCCCCCGTTCATCACTAAACATATTGCAAAGATCTTATTAAGCAGAATAGGAGACATGATGAATACTCTGATGAAGGCATTTAGTTTCATAAGAAATCCTGCTCATAACGATTTTGTGATCAATTACACAAGCCCACTTCAATCTCACACTCAGATGTGACTTTAGGGAAGTGATTAGTTATAAATCCAAAGAACACAGACACCAAACAATTACTGTACACCGGGAACCTCAAGTCAACAAAGATAACTTAGCTCTAAGGAAAATAGCATAGGAAAACTCGTTATTCGTAATGAAATCCATCCTGTTCTCTTTTTCACACATATAACCCATACTATCCACAGATGGAAAAAAAATTAGATGGCTAAATGAATCTGCTCAGTTCACCAAATAGATCAATAGAGTTACTGCATTCCATCAATTACAGAAAAATATTTAATGTAACTCTCATGTAACCCAAGTGACGAATGGTCAGCTAGGTTTGGCTCATCAACTAGGTTTAGTTGATATTTATAACATTTATGTGCTTCTTTGGGGGGAACTGAGCATCAAATTACATTATCCTGAATGTTCACTGATTATGCCGTTCCTCCTACCTCATGGTGATTCTTGGCAAGCCATTCCTTAATGGTGCTGAGGGCAATGACTGCAGCAGGCTCGTTCGGAAAGCCTAGATGAAGAGCAGAAAAAAACAAATGAACAACGTAAGATGAAGGCAATAGAGAGGTTAATCACGCTACAACACTGGAGTTTTCTCATTTAAGCAATATTCAATTCAGTCAATAAGTACAGGCCTCAGTAATATGTACATGGATATAAAGCCTGTGATCCTACACACAGGCATTAAGGGGGCTGGTCCTACACCAGTACAGAGTTTAAAAATAATTTAATTGTGTCTCTAATCTTATAACAATGTCAATTAAAAACATATTTATATATGCTTAATAGATTACGATGTACTTTCGTATTGTTTTCTTGTAAGAAGTGGTCAGATTAAAGTTTATTATCCTCAGCTTAAAACAAAAAGCACATGTGTCTCAGAGAAAACATATAGTTAGCCCAGGGTCAGTTCTGCCCATCACAAGGCCAGCAGCACTCCACCAATGGACCATACCACAGAAACCTATTGTCAGAATTCAAAGAGGGTATTTCCTGTTTCACCTGGGGCCATCAGAGGTGATGCTTGTAATTGAGACAACATGAGCTAATCAGGTCTTGTTGTACAGGTTTGGTTTTAGAAGGGCAGCAAGAATGACAGTCTTATGCTTTGTCCCAGGGGGCAGGAGCGTACATGCTCAGAGTCTCCAAAACACATTCAGAATGTCACCTTAGCTGATCTAAACCAAACATATTCCTGGACCCACAGAACCATCAAACATTCTGCCAATAGTGATAGTATGTGAAGGAATAATCCTATCAATTTATATATTTATGGAGCAGGAAGAAGAAGAGATAGGAGTAACTATGCTACTGAAACTACTCTCTTTGAGCTCACCACTGGCTTCCTAATCACCGAATCCCATCACCTTTCAATTTATCTTCAAGCTAAATTGTTAGATGTGTTTAGTGTTCGATGTGTTTGACTAGTTTTTTATGTTTTATTCTCCTCTCACATATTTTAATTTTTTTAACTTTCTTATTGTTTGAAAGTTTACAATTCAGTGGTTTGTACCATGTTTGTAAAGTCTTGCCATCATCACTAATTCCAGAATATTTTTATCATCCCATAACAAAACTCTGTACTCATTAATGGTCACTCCCCAATCTGTCACCCAAAGCCCCTGGTAACCATCAATCTACTTCTGTCTCTAGGAGTGTGTGGCTTCTCCTCCTGAATTTTTCAACCCTGCCTTCTTCCACGTCTTCTTCTTCCTGTTTGACCAATTCTTTCCTGGCTTCTTTCTAGCAACATTCATTAAATGTGTGCCATTCCCAGCATCCTAAACTCAGCCCTCTTTTTTTCTTTATATGGCTTGTCTATGAAGACATTTTCTTGTCCAGAGTCCTCTGGGATATTGTCCATACAGATGCAGAAAGACAGAGATGTTGCAGAAATGGAGAGAGCCAAGACTTAAAAGACCCAGTTTTATTGGAGGGCAAATATGTATTCCAGTAGTTCAGACTGATAGTTCAGGTCTCAGTAGGTCTTCAGAAAAAAATGAGTGAGAGGACAGGAAAAGGACAGATATTGTCCCCATTTCCAAGAATATGTGTTGCTTTGCTGATTAGGTTTCTACAGGCTTTGCTAGAGAGTGCATTACGAAAGGGGACAAAACAAATCAGAGCCAAGCTTCATTTTTCTTAGAGGCAATGGCTGTGATATAGAAAATGTGCATAAGTTCTTGAACCTTTGTAATGTCTATCACATTTGGGATTGTGCATTTGTTATGAATTGTTTAATCCTATTCATTTTCTTTAAATGAAGGCATCAAAATGTAAAACCTTTAAATTTTCTTTAAAGTTAAAAAGTATTACTGAACCCCACAAAAGTAGCTATGTCATACTTTTATTGAGTCCCTGTCCTCTAAAAGCCCAAAGTCTAGGGGAGGAAATAGACAAGTAAAGAGGCAAACAAAAATGCAGCATAACAAGTGGATTAGGGGTATGTGGACACAGATAAAGAGGACTAAGCAAGAAAGAAGTGTGAGGTTTGCAGGAAATAATAGAATATTTGAGGAAGAGAGCTGTAATATGGGGAACCAAGGAGACATTATCCTCAGAAATAAGCTGTGAGTCCCGAGGAATCAATGGGAAAGGTTAGGAAAAATGAAGTAGAGAGGAAAGCAGGATGAGAGTACGGGTGAGCTGCAAAGAAGGAAGGAGGTGGCCAGGTGCGGTGGCTCACGCCTGTAACTCCAGCCCATTGAAAGCCTGAGGTGGGAGGATCATGAGGTCAGGAGTTCAAGACCAGCTTGGCCAAGATGGTGAAACCCCATCTCTACTAAAAATATAAAAATTAGCTGAACGTGGTGGCGAGCACCTGTAATCCCAGCTACTTGGGAGGCTGAGGCAGGGAATTGCTTGAACTTGGGAGGCAGAGGTTGCAGTGAGCTGAGTTTGTACCACTGCCCTCTAGCCTGGGCACAGAGCAAGACTCTGTCTCAAAAAAAAGGAGAAGGAGGCCAGGATGGGCATTTGCTGTTAGGGGATTAACCATAGAAGGCCTTTTCTGTACATCTCTGCCCTGAATTTAACACCTACGTTTATAATCGCCTGGATACTTCCCTTTGATATGCTTCAGCACCAGAAATGCAACACATGCTCCTACCTAAAACAAATGTCGCCCCTGGCTTTGTGGTTTCTGTCTATGGCTTTACCTCTCTCCTAGTTACCGCCATGTTTGACTGCCTTCCCTGCTGGTAACCAAGTCCTAAAGGCATTTTCCCTCTGAACTATTTTCCACCTCGCCTTCTTTTCCTCCCTTTCCCACTGATTTCTTTCAAGGTCTGATCAGCCCTAACCCAGACAACTGTAGCTGACAACTGTGCTCCTTTGGTCTTCCTTCCCTTCTCCAATCTATCCTGCAAGCCACTTTCAAGTGATTCTTTCTACAGCATAGTTAGCATTACATCTCAACCATACACAAAACAGAGGCAGCCTTTGTTGACTCTCCAACACAGAATAAACACAGACAGGCACCTCAGCTTAGTGTTACACATTCCAGTGACCCCACGGGGCCTTTCTAGATTTATGTCTCAGTTTTCTCTTATTTATTCTCATCTCATAAAATTCTTCTCCAAATTTAGGTATGTTGAATAAGTATTTAAGTCATAAAATTATAGGGCTATATAAAACTAATAAATACTGCAACCACACACAGTTGCAATGACCATCAGCATTAACATACACCTTTACAAGACATAATTCCCCACAGAGAAATTATACAAGTTGTCATAGAACCATGGCAACTATGGTCAGTTCTCAATAATTTGTGACCTCCTGGTCACTCATATTCATCAAAGCATCTGGCACTGAGTTACGATTTTCATCTTAACCTCAAGGTTCGCTCTAACCCTGTGTGATTTCAACATCCACGAGAGTGACCCACCCTGCGCCTAGCCAATCCATTGACCCGTTCGTCTTCCACAACAACCTCCTCCATGAATCGTGCCCTGGACCTTGATGCAGCATTCCCGATTCAAAGTTACTAATTTAAGCAGAGCTCTCTCAAAACCTGCTTTCTCATTGTTAGTTTGTTTGCTCGGTTACTTTCCAAGGAATACTCTTTCACAAGCATTTGAAGCCAACTCTAGCTTCAAGTCACTCCCCAAGTTAATGGCAACATTTCTCCCATGCATAAACTGGCCCTTTCTTGTCTCTCTAGTCTCCTCTCGTGTTGCTTTGCTCTTTGTCTTCTCCACTCCAACGACATTGGCCTTCTTTCTGATCTTTGAAAGTGGTATTTTTATTTTGCCTTCCTGTCATAAAGCCTTGCACATGCTCTTTCCCCTTTCTGAAATGACATTTATCCTCCCTTTTTCCTAGTGTATTTCCATTTTATTTGTCCTCTGCTCAGTGGTCACTTCTTCAGGAAAGGCTTCTCTGACGTTGATGACTCCCTATGTTGTGTTTTCATAACACCATGTACCTTTACCTCACAGACCCATCACAGTTGCAGTTCTACATTTACTTATGTAAATATGTGATTAATAACCTTAATAGAGTGAAAACCCTGGCAGGTGGATAACACATCTGTTTTTGCTTATCACTGGATACCTGAAACATTGCCAGCACATACAGAATGATCAATAACTAGGTGTTGAATGACTGACTGGATTACAGACTTGTGGATCTTTGTACATATTGACAACAGGAAAAGGCTCACTGCTGGGAGCACAGGGAGTGTTTAATCTTAGAGTATGGGGAGGAGGAAGAGATGCTGAGAAGGTACTCAACAGATAGTTACATTCAGAATATCCCTTTTCATTCCTGGGGGAAAATATTGAGATTTATGAGAAAATCTAGTTCCTGATAGGAAGATGTATTGTGATTAATTAAAGAGGGAGAAAAATATCAAGATGAATATCCCTGAAAGTTTGCCTGCTTTCGTCGGACATGGATATACAAGATAAAGCATGATGTTCAGGGTAAACAGCAAGACAATTCTTTCCCCCACTTAACTGCAAGACCTCCGGGGTTACAAATAAGACCAATGAATGGACAAAGACAGATTTTAGCCTAGGGATGGACTCCCAAGAGAGAAAAGACTTCCTCAGAACATCACAACATATTCTGGTCACCAGGGGACTTTTGTTCACAAAAGTAGAATGGCCACCCAGAGGGGAGGCTACAGACAAGCCTCAGATGAATCACTGAATTAGATGACATGGGAAATCTCTTCCAAGTATGAGGGTCAATGAGGCTGAACAAGCCATGAATAATTTAGGGTCAGGCAGGCAGGAAGTTGCATGTGTGTGTATCCAGGTGCGCACAGATTCTGTGCCTCTACTGGAATTCCAAAGCTTAGTTTCCTACTCATTAGGATAGATTCATAAAATTAACTTTTGTTGTAAATGTGAAAGTTGACTTATACAATAAATAAATGATTTTTCTTATTTACTTTGTATTGAAAGTGCTTACAAATATTTTACATACTGTACACACACACACACACACACACACACACACACACCCCATTATGCAGCTCAAGGTATAAGATACTTC